TATGGAAATACCATCGCATTTCATTCAATTTATATTCACACTGTAAAAAAAAGTATGATCAAAACTTTCACAATATGTTTGATTGTTTTGATGTTCCTACGTTCGATTGTTATAATGTTTGACCAGAATATGTTTGACTTTTGTTTTGATATTCCGCAGAGAAAGAAACTTACCAATTTTCTGGCTCTATGGGAACATCAAAAATCTCGAAAAGTTTTACTTTAAGTATTAGTTTGAATAAAATATATTTTGGTTTTATATAGCAGAATTATGTTATTTTTCTTCATAGAAATTTCATCACCATACAGTATGACAGTTTAGCCAGATTTCTTTTCTTCCATGTACGTTGATTAAAGTATATACACAAACATAAAATAGAAATCAATAATTTTAATCAATCCTTCATTTTGGTCACAGTTTCATGAGCCCACCAGAGCCCTTTTGCATTAAATCAGTTGTTTTTGGCCCCAAACATGCTTTACGTAAAAGATTTAATGTGATTTTAAAAAAATCACATTATTGAAGGGAAAAAAATGAAGCAATGGTGTTTTTTCTGGATACTTTTCTTAAAATTCAGACTCAACAGTTCTAGTTTTTCAGCTCTATTCTTAGCAACTATAATAGACATATGATGGAATTATCACAGTCAGTGGTACTTCTCTCTCTTGACTATTGAGATATCTTTCTCCTAAGAGAGATTTAACGTGCACCTTGGGGGGCTGCATATACGCATCTGTTGTTTAACTGCTAGAATTATCTGATACTGGTGTCTCCAAAGACTGCATTATTGCTATGAAAAATAAGTTTGTGGGTTTTTGCGATAGGCAGCGTCGATGATATATTACATTAAAGGGTCGTGTTATTTCCATGGATTCCGGTCTGTGCTGAGATCATAAAAGCTGGTGGAAGTATGATGATTGTTAGTGTGCTTAAAATGTTTCAAAGGATGTCTCTACTTTAAGTCTTAGATATCGAGAATATTCCGGTGAAGAAAAGTACCATTAAAACTGTGTAAGGATTGATTCAGAAACAGTGTCGTAAAATATGAACGCATTGGGTTACGTTTAAAAGAGAAATAGTGTTGTTTTTCAATTGTTAAGGTAAAAAAATGCAAAAGGACTTGGCAAGAAAGGCAAACTGGCGATAAATTAAAGACAAATAATCACAAATTTACTATGAAATAGCAATTTGGAATAATAGGGAAAATATTTAAAAGTTGGAAGTTAGTCAGCAATTCTGTTTTTTTTTTCGATTGTTGTTTTAGATTAAAAAAACCAAAGATATGGGTATGTCCTCGTGACATAGACAGTTGGTGCAAGTACTAGTAGTATCAAGCTTTAGAAAAAAACTATGAAAAAATACTCAAGGTTTACCTGAGAAAGTTATGGTGTCCAAATAGCTAACATACATTAAACTGTGGAATCACGATTTATTGCTTGCATGGAAGAACATAAATTCAAAAGTAAAGCTTTAATGGTATTATGTGGCAAACCTTGCCAAAGGATGCTAATAGAAATCTCTGTAGTTTTGGATTTCATGAGAAATTTCTCTATGCATGGTTCACTATCTTTTTCACAAGATTACATGAATGAGCCACATGGTTTACTACCAGTGTTAAAGTTATTTGGAATAGACTATAGAGATATTTTCAGTCCAAGAGAAATGGCCAGACTTTGAATTCTTCTCCCTGATATTTCTTACTCTCTAGAAAAACATGAAGAAAAAAATTGTTATATGTTTCCAAAAGGCATACATTTTTGAAAAGCAAACAGAATAGGTAAGCGACTGCTTCAAATTTTTTAATGTGTATGTTTTATAACTTAAGTTCTTGTACTAAAATATTTTTTGTTATTAGTTACACTAGCGTACAAAAGTCTTTGATCAAACTCAATGTTATAGATTGTTGCTTGGAAATGTAATAAATAATGTATAATTTTTTTCCTAACCATTCTTAATATGCTTATCAACCAGAAAGCAAAGTTTGCGCTTTGAAAGTCACTTTAAATCAAATGCAATTTTCATATCAGTCGGGTATTTGTTTTTCGAGAAGTGATTTTCTTACATCTAAGAATTGGATGAAAATGCAATTAAAAGATACAATTTTAACAAATAAGCATAAGTTTTGCATTTTATTTACGGAAATCGTGATTATAACATTAATTTATTATTGACATTTATTTTTGAAGAATTAGTTCTGACAAGACTCAAATATTATAAAAAAGGAAATATTGAACTGAACTGAGTGGAAAGATTTAAATTTAATCCAAAGATCACACTTTCCATTAAATTGCAAAAGAAATAAAAATTCTGAAAATCAAGTGTAAGATATATGTTGGCCTGACTAAATAAAACGAAAATCATCTCTAAAAAAAGGAAAAAAAAAGAAAAAGAAAGAACATTGAGAATCCTGTATTTATATCTCAAAAGTATTTAACTCAACTAGAAAAGGCAGATAACTTTTATTTGCTTCTCTAGCATCATTAACAAATCATTAAGTTTTTCTTTCATTATTGGCTTAATCTAAATCAATAATTTTAAAATCAAACTAAAGTAAGTAACTGAATTTTAATAAAATTTAAGGTATGTTAATTTGAGAGCAGTCTTGTGGACTTCACTATATATTTTAACGTTTGACTGATTCTATGCAGAGGTGGTAATTTATGAAGAAAGCACAGTGCTTTAATTGAGTCTTACTTCCTAAATAACGTTTAAAATGTAATTATACCTTTATATCCTCAAACAATACCTAATTGGTGATCAAAGGGTTTCTAAGATCAATAGGAGATTCTTGACTAAAAATAGAAGCAAATAACTTTGCGTTTATTAATATGAAATTGTTATGAAAGCATTTTATCAGATATCTGCTTTGGTAGAAACGTAAATTAATCGTGTATCCTCAGACTACCCCTGGGACGACTGATGGTATCCTCAAAAAAGACATTCGTGTTTACTTTGTATTCTCCCAATTTCCGAAACAATTTAATTTGCGTAAATTATTCATTGCATAATTCATTGTTGGAGTATTTCTAGAGTTGTTGTAAGAAACAAACCTAGTATTTAGTTTGCATTGTTACCATGGTTATGCACGCACAAGAATAATTAGGGTCCATTTTAACTTCCATAACTAGGGAAATCGATTATTATTAAATGAAAAAGTTGTACCTATTTAAATAAATATTATATCATAAACTTAAATTCAATATTTAATATTTTGTTTTAACGTAGATAATAATAAACATTCTTTCATAGCAATTTGTTTAGAAAAAGAAAAATTATGATTCGTTTTACTAAAGCTATTTAAAGTGACTTATGTTACACTGTTGAAATTTTCGTTCTAAAACTATGGTAATATAACTATCAGCTGTCTGTCCATCTGATTAACTGTAAAGTTTACTGTGAAGAACATTTTATTTCTTTATGGTTTTGAAACCATTTACAAACAGTATAGCTACAAAACCAAGAATGCAAAACTATACGGTTTTTTAACCATTTACAACTGGCATTTTTCAAAAACGTAAAAAAGTATAACTATTTAACTGGACATACTAGCTTGGCTTTTCGTAAGATAATGAGCATTGGAGAGTGCTTGACAATGGAAATTCTTCATGTTCTGAAGGGAATGAGGAAGTATTGTGCTGTTAGCACTATAACTTGAATTCCAGTTCTGCGGGGTCATGAGATTGACAGATAAGCCCGCTCGGCTATGATCTGTACAAAGTTGCAAGGAACTAAGTAGCTTCATTAGGTGGTTCTAGTTTTTGCAACAAAATTCTTGTTGTTTAACCGTATTAGGTGAAAGCAGTTAATAAACTGTTTCTCTCAAACTTAATAGTTTGATTACCATTTTATTTATGGTTATTTGACTCTTTTGATTAAATATAGTAAAATTACTATTCAATAGATTGTTGTTTAACCATTTTTCCGAGAAATTTCTGACATTGGACTAAGGTTTCATCGAGATGACTGTTTCATGATAATCTATAAGCTCTATTCAGCTTTGCTGTTTTCATTCCAAAAATATAGTCAGTGTATTTATTATGTGGCATAACTATATATATATATAACTTTATTATTACTGTAAAACATAATGTACTTAATTTTGCTGAATGATTTATAAAAAGGGTTCTTTCCTATTTATTAGCTTCGTCAAACTAAACATTGCATTTGTTTTTAATTGTTATAATTTGGCCGAAAATAACCTTTAGTAGCACAATGATATATTATTTAATGGCAGAATTATGCAATATAATACTGCTGAGTTTGAATGCGTTAGAACCCTGAATATTATCCAGTAATTTAATAGCTAATGATATATTAATGTCAGAAAAAATAAGAAAATGGTATTGAAAGTTAATTCGATTCGCGAACGACAAACAGGAAAAACTTTTTCAACTTCTTCACTTTTGTTTACGGCAGCATATTATATTGGTTGAGTTGGGTTCGGCAGCTTCTAGAATGAACCTCTTAGTCTTTTCAAAGGTATTTAAAATTTAATAGTTTCTTTTTAAGTGCAATAAAAGTACTGCAAAGATGATGATGTTGTAAAAATATTCAGTGTACTGAATAATTTTGACCTATTATTCAAAACGTTTAGTACTAATTTGGTGATCATGCCTTTATTAAGTTAGTAAATATCATGAATAGTGTTCCTTCTGACAATGAATATTTTGCGCATAGTAGTTAGTTTATTTTTTAAAACGTGTTGTCTAACTGTAAATAATAAATATTGTAGTTAGATCAGAATATACTTGCAAAATAACGTTAAATTAGTTATTCACATGTAACAGGATTTGGAGATATTTCTGAATCGCGATCCGTCACGCCAACTAAAATCGCCGAACCCCAAATGAATTTAAAACAGATAATTTTAAAAAAAAATATGTAGAGGTTTACCCAGAGGAGTTGGTCCCTTCAATTTTATTTTATTTTATTTTATTCACTCATTTTATTTTATTTTATTTTTTTTATTTATTTATTTATTGGATATCTTTTTTTTTTAGTTTACCGCGGATTTCAGACCGGAAGATGTCAAGACTGTGATTATTCTACTGCAGATCACTATACGAAAATTTTCAACAGGAGTTTTCTGCCACAATGATCAAGATTAAAAATAATTGTACCTATACAAAGGAATTTTTCATACAAAAAATAATCTTAAAATGAGTATTCTGCTAATTAAAGCTCTCTTAAAGCGATTATATTTCAGAATGCCTAAAGTTTAATGATATCCGTAAATAATATTTCACATTCAAAATGTTAAGTACTATAAAATAATGCAATATTTTTTTTCAGATATGAAATTTCTGTATTTATATTTTTTCAGATATGATATCTTTTCATACACCACTATCTATACTTTAATGTAAATGACTACTGATGATTAAAAAATGAACAACAATATAGTCTATTTTAAGTTTTATTTATGTTGAATGAAGAACAGTGTTAGCAAGTAGGTACTACTTTTTTCAGCAAATTAATCATTTTTTTTCCAATGCCCACCTGTGTTAACATCCGTCAATTCAGGCATTGTTGGCCTCTCTTTCAGAGGCACCTTATTAGGTGTGCCAACGTCGCTCCCTCAGTGAAGACAGATAGTTTAGAGAAGGAACGAACATCCTTGCCTCGCCCGGGATTCGAACCGAGCACCTTTCTGATGCAAGGACAGTTCCCTGCCCCCTACACAGGTCGGTCGCCTCAAATTAAACAAGGAACAGAGATATTTCAATATCTAAGTATGTTGCACCAACTATGTTGCAGTCGCTAAGGTACTAAATGGAATACAAACTAGCATTTTTTTAAAAAAAGGTTTGAAATCGGGTGGAGTTTTTCACTTCGAGGAGGGTGGACTACTTTTCGGACTTTTTCTCTTGTTTTTTGTGGGTTGCTTCTGGTCTTTTTTATCATTAGTATTGAAAAGGAAATCTGCTCATTGAATTTTATTGTAAAGGTTAATACAATATTTCAAAGCATTTTTAGGTTTCAAATAAAAAATATTTTTTATGCAGCGAATCCATATCTGGGTATTAATGGCTCTCACAAATAGCAACGATTTATAGTATTTAAACAATATATAATTTGTGTATCGAAATTTTTTGATTTTGTTGAAATGTTCATTGAGCAAATTAGAAATGTAAGAATGCATTATATTGTGTTCAGTTATTGTGTGATAAATTGTTTAATACAATTTTCATTAATTAGCTGTTTAATGTATTAAAATATAAAATTTGAATTTAAGAATTATTTTTTATCTAAATATGTTTGTTTATTTACAGTTCCAACAGGGCGTATCTGAGGCATATAAAACCATGAGCTGGTTCGAGATTAATTTAACCAGCCCTAAAAAAAATTATATCAAGTGCTGATTTGGAAATATTTTATTATAGTCTTTTCTTATTTATAAGACTGAAAGAAATAATTCCTCAACATTTCAAAACTAATCATTATGACGCATAAAAAATTTCCTTCGCGTATTTAATTCGTGTCATAAAAGATACTATTAATTTAAATTACATACACTGTTTGCGTATTTTAGGCATATTTTGGCATATAACATTTTATTTTAAAAAAAGTAATAAAAATTATTTGGTAAAGGTTTGAATTATTAAAAAATATTAACAGACAGTCATTTTAATTAATTAAAAATAATGACTAAGTAAAAATGTTTCCCTACACCCCTAATATACATATTTTTAATTAATTTTGCTTTTTTTCATGACGTTTGGTTCATTCTAGGTTTCATGTTCTGCTGTAGGGAAAAATAATATTTAATTATGTTAAATTATTTAAATGTCTTAAGAGTTTAAATCCTAGTGCAATTGAGTGTGCTTGTGGGTTTCAAATCCTTCCTGTTTTTCCGATTGCTATTTGCTCATGAATGCAGGTCACGTGTACTATTTTCTTCCATTGTTAGTGAAAAAATATTTATCCATTTTTTTCAATTATGGGCAGAAATTCAATTATTCAATTATTTTTTAATTATGTTACTGGCTGCTCACAGTGTTTCATCATAGATATCTGTATCTGCATCTGTACTTATTTAAAATATTACTTAATTTCGTTAATTGTTTCATTGCATTAACTACATTATTTTCAAAAATGAATTAGAATTTCAAGCTATTTATGTTTCAATGGTAAAAAGTTTTTATTTTTGGATACATCTTATTAAAAGTATCTTATTAAATCCATTGTTTTATAGTTTGGACAATTAAGTGAAAGGTAAATCCATTTACTTAGTAATCTTTCTCAAAAAGAAAATATGTTTCAAGTAATTTCTAAAATTTTATAATTAAAAAAAAGTTCATATCTGATTTGAACTTTTAAATCTGGTATTGTAATGAAAGAAATTAATCAATTAATTTATTAGTTAATTAATTAATCAAAAAGCATAATGCAATTATTTATATCGATGCATTATTTGCTAGATTTAGAAAAATATAGGAATTGTTCGCAAAATAAAAGCATTACGGATTGATCCTTTTGATCAACGAATCGGAGTTTTACATAAAAAAATTAAATGATTTTTGAGGTAAGCCTTAAGTATTTAAATAGATTAATGCTGAAAGTATTAAAACAATTGCCTAAGGACGTATTTCTTTAAATAAACTTTTCTTTTCTTTTCTTTTTGAGAGAGAGAAATTTTTATTTTTGACCGTTAAACTGATAAGGAATAAAAAGGATTCTCCGCACCATCAGAGCCATTTTAAAGAGTAAATTACTTTTTCCCTTTTTTAAAATATCAAGAGTAATAAAACTTATTTGAAAAAAAAAGCTTCACTACAGTGAAAAAAATACAATAAAAGTAATAAAGCCACTTATGTATTTTTAGGTACATGTCATACCTGATTATATAATATGATTAGAAAAAAAAGTAAAATCATGCAGAGAAAGAAATACATATAAAAGAGAATAAGAATGACCATCAATTAGAATTTTTACATGAAAACTGGGAAATGTACGCTATAAGTAAAACTGGACGATGTATAAATAAGTATGAGAGAATATTTTTGATACTAGATTCAAAAATACCTATTTTTTTAAAAAAGCCCTTATAAGTTTTTTTTTAAATATTTAAGTTATATGTGCAATTTAAATTTTAATGGGAGAAATAAGTGGGGTGTGATAAATAAAAGTTGCAAAAAATGCGTTAGCGTAGAATAAACTTGGTTAGGTCATCCCAAACTATAGGGATTTAGAAAAGATATAAGCATAGTTTGTAGAATCGGTAAAATATTGGGTGATGATGTTTTGTGTTAATTTCTCATTGTATGTTTAGTAAGAATCTAATGTGTCTTAAATATCATATATTTTTTATTATCAGTTAAGTAATTCCGCTCAAAAATGAAAAGCAGTAAGTATAAAAGTGTTCCCATAACATAACATAAGGTTGGAAGAAAATATACTGTTTACTTTAAATTTCAAATAACTACTTTATTGGGTTTATTTTAATTAAAATTTTCAATCTATATGGTTTAGAGAAATTTATGAGAGTTTTATAATTTCATGAATGTTTTTTAAAATATTTTCCTAATATAATTCACGTATTCTTAGTTGAAAATCAATTTCGTTTGTTATTTAACCATTTCCCGACAAAAATAATAATAATAATTTCGTACATTGTTTTTTGTTTAAGAAAAGAGAAGGGAAAATGATTTTTCATTGCCCATAGAATTAACTTTTTTCTTATGTTTGCGCAATCGGGAAGAGTTGTCTTCTATGTTGCTCTTTTTACCACTTTTAATAATTTAGTTGGAAAAATAATTATCTTTTGTTTACAGTCATTAATAAACAGCATTCTTTTGTTCCCTGCCATAACTGTTCGCTTCATTGTGTTATGAATGTTTTACAGGATGTAGACTAACAATAATAAGATAACTGGAGAATCTTTTCTATTCAACTCCATCGAAATTTCTTTTTTTATAACCGCCTCCTGACATTGGTTCGAAGACAAACAGTGAAAGAAATCCATACATTAAGAAACGCTTCTTTTATAGTTCCTACATTTCTTATTTTACTTTTTGTGACTTTTTTATCTTCCTAATATGTTCTTTTATTTTTGACATCCAATAAGGATATCAAAATGAATAGCTTCCTTGGTTTTTTGTTGCAAGAATTTTTATCTCGATAAAAGACATTAAGAAGTTGTTTATATTCATCTTTTTAATCTATTTCTGAGTTAGATACAGTATTTTCTATCGCTAATACAGAATTGATGAAGATAAGGAATCGCTTGCCTAAGCAATTTTCTTATCCCAATCTACTGCGAATAATACGAACAAGACAAAGTGATTGCTAATAATTAACAAAAATTGCTTGCACGATTAAAGTTATTATAAAAAATTATCTCTATTACTTCAAGTGGCTTAGAAAAGACGCTACTTGAAAAGTTATTACTTTTTTTTTAAAGTTGCATAAGTAATAATATCTTCAAAAATATAGTAAGATGTGCCACACTTTGCTTTCTCTTTCAAATATAGTTTTATTTGTATACATTATGTTAACAGGGTGTTCCGTACAGAGCACACTCAATAAGTATTTTTAGAATCCATATCAAAATTGGAGAAAAAAGTAAGCATATTTGGGATCAAAAATTTATATTTAAGCTAGGTGTATGCAAAAACACAATGAAATCTGATAAATCGTAGTCCAGGAGAGTGGATTCAATTAGAAACAAGACACGTTTGATTACAGAAGAAAACAGTGATGTGTTTAAAGACGATTATTAAATACACTTTTTTATCTCAACTCCCAATTATACCTGCTTTGATGTTTATTATATCCGCTTCCGTTTCCGTAATTTGTCAAATTTTGACATAATTTTTCTCCTAGTTTCAATATTAAATTGCGATCTCCAATAAATATATTATTTTTGGTTTTCATTTTTGAGAAAGATTCTGAAAATACATACTAAGATGTATTTTTCTTATCCCACTGAACTTAGCTATCCAAAGGGTGTAGACTAGGATTAAAAATTCTAAATATGCTCCTCTTTATTTAATTTGCATAAATAAACTGATGACTAAATCTATTTGACAGCATCTTCCGATGCATTTATACTAGACCACCATCCAATCATAATTTTATACATATAAAGCACGCGGTATTTTAGATTCTCTATTATTTTTTACTGACAAAATTTACTTAACTATTATGTAGGATATCATGGAAATCGCTTATCTTTACAGGACATATCTGAGTTTAGCAACAATGGTTTCTGTGATTAAGCAGT